TTTTTTTTTTTTTTTGTTAAAACTATTATTTATATAGTTCTGCGAAGTTTCTCCGTTACGTTACTTGTATCGGTAAAAAATTTCGAGAACTTGAAGTTTGTAAACTTTGAAAGTAGGACATTCGATGACTCGAAGATTAGAAAATTTAAAGAGAGAAGCTCGAAGATTTAAAAACTTTTAATTCTGAAAATTTAAGAATATTGGAAAATTGCAATTAAAAATTAAATGGAAATTATAATTATATAAAGTAAATGAAAAAAAATTCTATCTTTTTATTACTATTAATTTGAGAAAAAAATTAAACGTAATAATCTCTTTTTCTTAATTAAAGATTCTTTACTATATTACCAATATACATAATAAATTCAACTTTGATATTAATATACATCGATTATTTGAGATTAACGATAATTTATGGATCAACTTTAAAATTTGATCAAAGCTAGTAATATGGATAAATACACTAAATTTCACATATTAACCAATAAATCTAGAATCGTTAATAATAACACAATAATCCAAACAACTTTCTTATAATTTAATATACAATCTGAATATTCAGAATATTTCGAAGAACAATTCACGAAGAACGAACTTCTAATTAATCAGATTTTATTTATAATATTTTCAAACTTTATAATCAATTATTAATGAAATTAACATTATTTTATGTTCTATTATTAATAATTCATAATTCAATAACAGCGGATCAACAATTAATAAATTATATATATATATTTATTTATCATTCTCGATTTCCATTTATTAATAACGGAATAAAACAGTTTAAATAAATAATCCACTAAAAATTATCAAATTTGCTCGCCACGTTTTAAATAATGTACAATATTTTATTAAAATTAATATTATAACATAATAAATCTTCCAGATCAAATAATAACCGTACGATATTTCTCTCTCTCTCTCTCTCTCTCTCTCTCCTTGAAACTTTTCTCCCTCCTATAATATCTCCACCCATAAAATTTATATATCCTATATTTTCTTAATAACACGAACAATATCGAAACAATATTATAAAGTATATCAGCCATATACATTACAATCTAGATACGATTTCTTTTTACACGTAAGCTTTATATCCTATACGATCAATAGCTTACCTGGACCAGACCATGGAAAATATCGTCCAGGATGCCAGGCTCCTCGGTTAAGGATCTCGTGGTAAGCCTCTTACGCCTTCTCTTGTGCATTGTCAGGAATCGACCGGTCGGCCTCGGTCTCGAGCGGCCGATATCCAAACTCTCGAGAAGGATACGGTCGACCTCTGACAAACGTCTGAACGCGGGTTCCGTCCTTGGTTCATCGCGGACTTCCGCCAACGTGGCCGACACGCCGGATGTTGGCAGCGCGGCGCTCTCTGCGAAGAGGAATGGAAAAGAAATTTTTAAGAAACGGTCGAGGAAGAGGATTTTCGAGAGATGTTTCGTTAAATTTTTCTCTCGTAAAAGAAGATTGGGTTATTGAAAATAACTTGGAATATTGGATCAATCGTGTCGGCATAAGAATTTTTGAGAATGGTTTTTGATAGAGTATGTAACGTTTTTTTTTTATCGAAGGAATTCAACAAGATTTTGGAAGAGTTCTCTGTAAATTTTTGTGTGAAACAGTGAAATTTTGAAAAGCGAATTATTAATCGTGTCACATGTATAATATTTTCCATTTTTTGAGAAAGTTTTGGAAGTGTTGACGTTTTCTAGGAAATGATTGGAGAAAAGATGATTTTTAGAATTTTCCTCTTGAGAGGAAAGGTGAAAATTAAATTTTGAAAATTGAATATCAATCATGTCAATCATGAAATATAATTTTTGAAAATATTTTGAAAGTATTGGAATGTAACGTTGAAGCAATTGAAAACTATTTTAGAAGGAAAAGTCTGTAAATTTTTCTCTTGTGAAATCTAAAATTAATTTTGGAATGGATATTATAACCACTGCAATTTTTCATTTTTAAATAAATTTTATAAAAATATTGGCAATTTTTGTGTTGATTTCTACGAAAGCAATTGGAAAAGATGATTGAAATTGGTTTTATTACGTGATTATATACATTTTCCTTTTCTTTTACAATAGAAGTAAAATATTAATAAAATTTCTCAATTCATTTTCAATTTTAAAAAAACATTTAAAATATATTGATAAAATAAAATCATCTTTTAGAAAATGAAAAACAATGTTTACTTATTTACTTTTCAAAATAAGATATTTATTATTAAAATCATTCAAATGAAAATACCAAATGAAATGGCAAATATTAAAAATTAATTATTTAAGATAAAATTACAGAATAAATAAATATTTTACTTTAATAAAAACTTCAGATATATATAAATAGGATAAAATAATATAAAAAATTAAAAATGGTAATATAAAAAAGCTCGAAAAGCGTGACCGTACAATGAATCTTCGATAAATTATAAATACCGAAAACTGCATCGGTAGAAATAGCAAAGATTAATGGCTCGTTTATCGTGATTGAATGCAAACAAAAATATTCAACGTTCGATGAATATTCATGAATATAATAATTTATATCGCGTACACGGAAATTATTAGAATACCGTAGCGATGTTCGTTGTTCGTGTAAATATTCTTTTGGAAATAATAATCGAACGGTTATCTCTCTGAATTGTTCGATTACATAAATATAATTAATATATAATTATTATAATTTTAATAAACTAATGCTTAATTAAAAAATATAACTAAAATTTGTTGATATTTTATTCAATTCGTTAATTAAAATTATATTTGCATTAATATTAGATCGATTGTAAACTACAACAACTGTGTCATGTATATTCTATGGTTTTGAACAAACTAGCGATCTGATAGGTTAGTTTTCTGTAACTATACTACTGTAAATGTAAATACATACGAAACGTATGTGGTATTATTAAATAAAAGTTTCTAGATAATTACTAAAAATTAGTTTTGATAAATATGAAATTATTACGTATTAAAAATAATAATATATAATTATTCTTGAAGTACGCTTTATTACAATTAAATTTAATTAAAAAAGATTAAGAGATTTTTTTGCTACTCGTTCCACTTTTTTTTTTAGGATTTATAATAGAAAGATGGGATGGGATAGGACCTAATGCGAATTTTTACTTGCTCGCGCAGAATACGATACTTAACCTTAATTAACAAATTTCCAATTTTCCGCCCTCCTAAATAATTACAATTTCTAAAGTCAATTCATCCATTTTTCACTTCTGGCTAATCTTTCTCACGGTCACGTTAATTTAACTCTTTGTGCTGGAAGATTGGTAAAGATACGTTTCTAGATAATTATATAAATTTCTAGTAACATTTTATTAAGAGAAATTTATATGGAAATAAAAATAAATAATTCCAAACTTTTATCATTTTTCTAGTTGATTGTATTGTTTCTAAAGAAAAATTACTTCCTTATAAAGTTAAATAATGTTTGAAAACCATATTTCTCAATTTTAAATTCGAAACGGTTGTCAAGGGACATGCTTGAGAAATTTAAAAGTATTGAAAAAGTAAGTGTTACACTTTTCTTCCTACTAAATTTTCATAACTTTTATAACCAAATACATGATTTTAATTTTCAAAAATCAATCACATAAAATCACTTTATATTTCGTGCAAATTTTGTTTATTCTTTTTCAAAAACGACGAAATAATTAAATTTACCTCTACCTAACCTCTACATTCTCTAGGTAAGCATCGATGTAAAACGAATATAAATTCAAAATTGTAACAATCTTTCAGAATTCAGAATTTTAACAATATTAATAAAGCAAAATATAAAAATTAAGGTAATATTGTTTATACATCTAATTTTCGAGAAATTAGAACCAATCTCTTAGGATCACCGAAGAGGTTAAACATATTTGTCTCGCGATAAAAAAGAAAGAAAAGAGTTTTCCCTAGTAATTACACGTTTGCGAAACAATAGCTCGTCTAGAAAGCATTGTCAACTGACATGGTTGCAAAACACAAGTTTGAAACGCGTACATCTTGCTAATAATTTCAGTTACACAATTTCTAGGGTACAATCCATTGCAACATCGTGCTATTCGGTATTATGACGCGCATATACGTGAGCAGCGCTATGCGATTGTATGATATATGGTTTTTCTTTTCATGCAAATGGACCAGCCTTCGTGTATACGGAATGCTCGAAGCAATCTTTTGTTCTTCTTTTTCTTTTTTCTTTTTTTTTTTATTATTGATATAAATATGCTTAGGTTAAGTTGAAGATCACGTATCATAATCAAATTATGAAAAAATATACGAGTGAATATATTTAAAGATTCTTGGATAAATATTTTAATCTATGACACTGATGGATTTTTCAAATTGAAATTTTTTTTTTTGCTTAATAGGTAATTATAAAAAATATTAAATTATATTTCAATTTAGAATATTATTTGTAATAATTCATAATTATTTAATAAAGATAATTTTTATTAAATTAAAAAGTATTTAAAAAGGTGTATACAAAATGGATGATGGAATTCATAGAACTTAAAAAGAAGTTATCGTTATCACAAATTATTTGTGAATATCAAAAAAAGGAATCGAAAAACTCAAGGAAAATTAGAAAATAAATCTCAGAATAAATTAATCTCTGAAAATTACTCACTTCTTGAACAAATTAATTATTAAAGAAATCTTCAAATGATAATTTATTTGTGACATAATGATCTACTAGAGATTTATTTTAGATTATATCTATTTTTATATGAAAGCATGTAACATGAAAAAAAATCATTATTGGAAATTTACATTCCCAATAAAAAAAAAGTGAATTGACGTAAGCTCAAAAATCAAAGTGTATTTTCTTGTAACAATAAAGCGAGTTATTTGTTCCTTTACTCTCTATAAGCAACAAAGATTATTGGAAATTTTCGAGTCGAACAAAGAAAGCAATATGATCGACAAAAAATTATTTTACAAAATGAAATTTATCTACAAGAGAGATTCGACACTTCGTTGTTGTAAACATTATTAAAAGTAATTGAAAAATTAAAATGGATGATAAATAATTGACAGATTAAAACACAGAGGAAAATGAATCTCTATCTTTAAAAGATTTTCAAATAAATGATTCGTGTTCGGGGATAGAAACGAGAATGTCCTATGAATGTTGGGACATTGTTCACGCACTGTCGCTATCTAATTAACCTAATTGCAGCCATACGTGTTATCAGTCAAAGAAACCGGTAGACTTTATGACGCGTAAATTCCATCGAGGTTATCGCTTCGTTTCCTTTCATGTCCCGTTTATTTTCTACCATCATACCAATTGACTTACGTATTCTTCTCATTTTCCTCTTTTAAAATTCTCTTTCATTCGGATAAATTCGAACATCATCCATATTTCTCGAACCGTACGTTGATTAAATTAAATTTTATTCGATTCGGTTTAAATTATCAATATTTTATCTTTTAAAAAAATAGTTTAGTTAAAATTAAGAACGATTATAAGATAATGATATTTTAATTTAATCAATTTGTTCAATAATAATAGTAAAAAGATTTTATTTATTATCACGTAATATTTAGATATTGATTTATATATCTGTTTAATTATTAATTTATTATATTGATTGACATTCGATTTTCTTGTCTAAAGAGATAAACTGTATGCCTCTGCCAATCTGAAATGTAAAGGGTTGAAATGTTGGGCAGCGATCCAACGAATATGAATCGGTGTGTAATATGATTGGAGAATGATTGATAAGCGTATAAAAAATTATATTATTATATATTGCAAGATAGAAATAAATCGTGTAATAATAAATTTAACAAGTTTAAAAGTTTAAAAAATTAGTACAAATTTCACAATTACTTTTGTAATTTTTTCTCTTTGAACAATGAAACAAGAAATATGTGAAAGTTTTTTGTTTTTATAAAATCAAAATAGATAATTAAGAATGAAAAATAACAGATAACAGATTAATTAAAGAAATTTATCTTGTAATAAATTACCATTGTGATGATGAAAAAATATATTTTTTTACTTTAACTTTATAATAATTATATAATTCTGAGAAAAATTCTTTAGTTAATGGAAAAAAAATATCTTCAAAATGGGTCGAAATACAATTTAATTTATTATCCAATAGGATAAGTATCTGAAGTACTGTAAGTCTTTTGTATCGTATCCGATCAGTGAAAAGCCTATCCAAATCCTTTGATATAAATGTTACAGAGCATCTGGGTTAACTGGAAGAAATCTCTATCTTTGGGAAAAAATATTTTTATTAAAAAGATCAAATAAATTTCTTTTAACCTTTTAATATATAATTACAATATCATGAAATATATTTTTAAAATATTTCAAATTTTCTTCCAATTTTTTAACTTTTCATACAATTTTATTTAAATTCTATATGTTCACACACAGGCATTAAAAAAATATTTTTTTTAATGAACATACAAAATATATTCAATAATTAAGCGAAACATCTTCAGTAATGATTAGATCAGGAAAAATTCTTCACCAACATTCACCACAAGGAAATGTAGGAAATACATTTTCTTTTGCAACTCAATAACTTCCTGTAATATTAGCGCGCTGAGGCGGAAGTTTTTCAGCTCGAGCATTAAAATGTTCGTATATAGGAATTAATTATTAATCATAAATGTAAAGCTTTCCCCTTTTACACTGAATTTTCAATCTATGTTTATTCAATTTACTAATCTCTTAATTTAATTTATATCTCTTTCTATAAGATTTTTAGCATTTTATTTCATGATATTATTAATTTATTTTATATCTTTAATTCAATATCTAATTTAAGAGAAATTTTATTTTCTTATAATTAAACTTATTTATTTTTATTATATAATTAAAATTAATTATATAATAAATAATGTTGACAAAGTCTTTAACAAAATATCTCAAAGGAATACATAGATATAAATCTAAGAGGCGAGATGACTATCGATTATCGATATATTATTGATATCTTATTAATTTAATTATTATCTTATTATTAATTTTTAATCATTATCATCAATCATTAAAATATTGTTAACAAAGAGAAGTGATAGAATTTCTATTTTTTCTTACTTATATTAATATCTTTATCAATTATTATTATCTTAATTAATTATGAATCGATTATTTTGAATATATTTTGAAAATCATCAACAACTTTTTAATAATAAAAAAATATAGAAATTCATTATTTTCATCCATTATTGATCTTAACAATAATATCGATATATCGAATAACATGCATATATTATCGAAATCTATCGATAGTTACATCTTCAGCGCCCCCTTGTAATCAGTACAACAGTTTCTCCGCAAAATCGTAGGTTAACGATCTATCTAAACACTTAACAAGGAAATATCTATTACATCCACGTTCGACAAACAGTAAATCGTACAGAAAACGTTTCGTTAGACGAGATAAATATGGCAAACACGATGGCCATTACCGTTTATCGTCGTGAAAAACACGTTGTTTCTTCTTCAATCGTCATTTCGTTTTTTACGTTCGTAAACTTTTTTCTAATCGAATTCTACTTTGAGGAAACAAACGTATATACTCGATCTCACATTGCTATTCTATGTTCGATTCTTTCAACTATTTCGTTCGATTCGGCCAATTAAATATCCTATTGTGAAGTGATTTGTTGTATTATTCATTAACCTAACCTAAGATTTTTTGCACGTCTATATATGTTCAATTTAACGAAATTAATGATTTACGTTTTTATGTTTTATAAAATAAAAATAATACACGTGAATACATAATATACGTTAAGTTTAATAGTAATTAGAATAATATTTATGCAAATTTTTGAAGTATATTAGTATATTAAAGCATATTATTATGTGTTAAGTATTTTATCTCTCGTCTTTTTCTCGTTTTTCTTTGAGAGAAATTTTTATGCTTAAAAAAAGTATTATTGTGTATGTATATGCATCTTGCAAAAATATATTTAAATATTGTGATTATATTACATATATTATATTATATACATATATATAATGTACGCGTATACATGTATATTACGTAAAAATGAATTAACAAAATATTCTTGTTAATTCATTTTTATTTTATAATAATTATTATTATCGCATATTATTCTAGTTAATAATTAAAAAGATTTTCGAAAATTCTATTACAACGATAATATCTGTTGTGAAATTATTCATAAAGAGAAAAATTGAATTTTCGACGAAAAACCAAAAAAGAATTTATCTATCTAGATTTTTTGAACAATGGAATGATTTTTCATTTATATTCAAATCACATTGTTATATTTTAATCACCTCGAAAATTTGTTACGAGAATCGCTATTTCCTCGACTAAAATATCTAACGAAAAAACGTGCAATATTCGGATCCATATTATGCAATTACTGATACAAATTTTTTATTTTTCTCGAATAAATTTTTTTAATAAGTTATTAGATTATATGTAAAATGCATAACGAATAACTGATCTATTTTTATGTAATATGATAACAAACTGATATTCGATTCTTTTCATGAAAATGTAAGAATAAAAAAAAAAGTTGATAAAGTGATAAACATTTAAATCACACGAAATAAATATACAATACATTTATAGATTAAAAAATTTTCTAATTTTTTTATATTTGCAATTCTAAAAAAAAAGGAAAAAGTAGAAACAAGATTTATATAATAATTTTACATTAATATTTAAAATATTCATAGTATTTATAATATTACCATATTTTATCTGATATATTAATATATTTAAAAATATTATAGATATATAAATTTACATATAAGAGAAAAACGATATTTAATAAATTAACTACAATCTGAACGAATTTTTTACAATTTAATTCCTGAATTTATTAAGTGAAGTATTAATTAAAAAAAGGAAATAAATCATCAGTTCGTTTAAATTTTTAATACAGAAAGAGTTTCACTCACCGGAAATGCGGACGAACACATTCTCCTCCCCATTGTCCACCGTTATCTCCGCACTTCTTCTCTGTAAAATGATAAGAAAATATCGTCGATTAAATTTCATTTATTCCGTTCAATTTTTCTAATTAAAATGAATAATAAATATATATATATATATAAGTTAAAATTAAATCGAGTGGTTATATTTTATCCAATGAAAGAATAAATTCAATTTATCTCTTCGAAACGATAATATATCAATATTTGATGAAGAGATTATTTAAAATAAATTTTAAAATCATTTTTCTTCCATAGAAAATTTTATATTTCTGCGAAATCTTCGGAAAAGATTCATCTTTTTCTTTTTACTGCAAGACAATAAATCCTCGTTTTTATGACATAATTTTAAAAAAATCAATTGAAATTCAAGTTTACATCGCGATAGTCCAGAAAGAGCAAAAAGAACGTCACTTCCGCATGAACACTTTCGAACAGATTTCGAACGACATCGACTTCCGGAATTTGGACAACCTCTCTATTCATCCTCAAAACGAAACTCTCTTTCCAACTTCAATGAATCTTGTAACGTGAATCAATTCTTTTTCTCGTCTCATCCAACTTTTTTTTAGATTCTGATAAATTTCGTTCGTAAGGATAATTAACCTTACATTCGAAAAATACGAAAAATACGAGTGAGAACAAAGATTCGAAGAGAAAAATAATAATAAAAAAAAAAAGGAATTGAATAAAAATAAAAAAATTTTATGAATATAATGAATGGAGAAAAAGTTAATTTCTATGGAGGATTATGATTATTAAATTTTAAAGGAAAAAATAAAATTTAAATTGTTTTGGAATAATTTTTCTTTGGTTTCTGATAACATTAATAATAATAAAATATTTTTTAATAATAAGTGACCATTATCGGCAATACAAATTCGTTTCTTTCAAATTTTTATTACTCGTCAATTTTTATTACTGTTACTGATAATTAATATCTATAAATGACGTAAAACATGATATTTAAATACCTTAATAAATAAAAAATATTAGATTATGTTACAAAAATATAAAAATGAGAAACAAAACAAAAACTGATATTATATATTCGTTACGTAAAACTTTATCAATAATAAAAAAAAATTGTTTATCATCGATAAAATTGATCAGTAAACCAAAAAATAAATAATCAAAAATAAATTTCATTTTTAACAAATTACCAAAAAATTAATCAAAAAATATTTTCCATATATTGATCAATAATAATGATTAACGATCAATAAATTTTTCTGTTATAACATACAATTTTTTTGCGATTAAAATTACAATATATATATATATGTAACAGAGCGCGATCCGAGAACCGATAGACACAGCGCGACCTGGCAGCGTTCGACAACTGGAACTATCTGGCAGACTCCACGTTAGCGGATCAGGCCGATTGCCAATTGCAAAATAGGGCGACCTGGATTTCGTATCTCGAGACATCCAGGTACCGCTGCAGGGACGATTACCAAACTCCGTGATAGGCCTTCGAAACAGAAGAAGAATCCTCGAAGCAATAAGAAGTGTACTCATTACGCCGTCCACGTAGCAGAACTTGGCAGAATTCGTAAATTCATGGACCGTTTCGACTAGACAGATCTCGAAATCTTTCGAGGATGCTCTTAATGGAACTTGTTACGTAGTCACGACACGTTGAGTTCATCTATAGGAAGGGAGTATGGAAAAAAAGTGTAAACGTGGTTAAATATTTGCTTGCCAATTTAAAAAATTTAGAATGAAAATTTATTTGTATTAACTGAGAATTACTAACAATGAAAGTGGATAGATTTTTGCAAAAAATTAAAATGAATAATTTTTTTAATTTTATGTTCACAGTAAAATACAATGCAGATAATATTTCAACGAATTTTGCATCTATGTTGGTTAAAACTGTTCGTAAATGAAACAGAAGTATCATATGCACGCTAGAGATCGCGACAGCGTTAGTGTTCTAGTGTAGATGCAGCATAAACAGTATACGTTAATAAACCCACAACATAACCTTTATAAATGCTAGAAGCAACTATCTCTTAAGTAACGTGAATAAATACAATTTCGAGAGTGGTGTATATAATGTTAATAATGAAAATCGATATTAAATGAAAATTGATCATTTTTATTGCTAATTATACAAATTAATCGGAATGAATATTGTATTTCTTAAGTAATGTTTCCACGTGCATACTAGACAAATAGAATTTCAATAGAAATAGTATATAGTCGGATGATTTATAGATTATATAACCTAACCTCATCATCGAAATATGCTGCTAATATTCTGGACTTATAAATGGAAAGCAGCTTATTCGTGGGTACTATTCGTGCAAAGCGTTGATCGTGAACGATATGTGCACGAATTGAAAGGATGATCGAGAAATGGTTTCGTTTGACCTGTTAAATAGGTTGCTCGTTCACCGGAAACTTCGGTAACCGTGAAGTGAAAAAATTAATAAAGATGAATGAAATTCAATTTCAGATTGATTTTATTTTTCTGAATTCAAGAATTCATATAAGCATTAATCAAAATTTAGGTTAGAATTTTACTACCACGAAAAATTTCTTTGTGAAACGATCTATCGATGTAAATTCAATTACTATTGACATATATTACAATATTAATCTTTAATCAATAATAAAATTGATAAAAGATTTGACGTGACCATGGTTCGAAATTCCTAACCTATAATAAATATATATAAAACTCCTATCTACTTATTCCTTATCTATAACCATAATTTCAAAGATACATGAAAAAGAAATTGATTCTCGAAAACATAGGCCATAAAGATCCTTTCCAAATCTACGTGAACTAGTTCAAGTTATCTCGAATATATTTACGATAACATACCAAATTATGATGTCCGTAAAACAATCTTTTATTCCTTCACTGTAAGTTACCACAATCTACGCTAGGGATATTTTCCTAGATACTTGCGAAACCAAGATACACCGGTTTAATTCGATTTCCTATGCCATATATCAAACTGTCGCGAATGGAATAATAAATTCGCGTCCGGTCATATCTGTTCGTGACTGTCCATGAGAATTTGGTCCGCGGCCAATCCACGATGGATCGTTCCAGCTATTACTAAATAGCTGATCGACGTTCAACAAGGCGTTCGTTTAACCAAGAAAACCTCGGTAATCCGAAGGACTTGCCGCGCATAATTAATGCAACGCGCAACGCGTGCTAATACGATTATGTAAACTAGGTTTCTATCGCTTGTAATCTCTCTTTCTTCTTTTTTCTTTTTTCTCCTTTTCTCATTTTATTCCGATGAATATGGTATTCAAGATTTTCTACAAACTTTTTAGTAATAAAATTTTAGTAATTTTAGTAATAATAAAAATTTAGTATTTTAGTAATAAAATAAAATTAAAATAATTTTCCAGTAGAAAAATTGTTGGAAATAATAGAGTAAATAAATCGATAATAATTATTCAATTCGATTATAAGAAATCTTTTAATGAGAAGATTTATAAATTTTATGTAGTAAATTTTGTGAGTATCTAGCTAGTAACAAAGACTAGTAACAAATAATAACTAAATTCTAAATCAATTTCGAATAATTTTTAATGATAAAATTTTAAAATTGTATGAATTTAATGTCAAATAACGGAAATATAAATGGTTTAAAAAATAACAAATTTTAATTAATAAATGTTGAAGAATGTACCTACCCTATTTCTAGTAATTTTTATTAATAAATTCGATCATAAATTATTAAACGCAAATTAATGAATTTATAATTATAAATTTGAAATGACAAAATCATTTTTCAAGTTATCTACACTTATAAAACGTTAATTTATCATTAAGTTAAAATCCATTTTAGTTATTTATTATAGATACTTGAGCACCTATTAGCTCACGCTTAATCCAATTCCCCAACTCGATATCGTGCAAAACTTTACACTAAAACGTTCTTGATTTTCGCAGATGTGATTAAACTTACAGAGTATACGAGTTCTAACGTTAATTGTTAATATTAACTTGGCAGAGCACACAAACGATATTGAATTTATATAGAACGAGTAAATGGAAGGATCTCTGAAACTATCCTCTGAAAACTACTAGTAAAACTTATTACCCGAACTAAAAAAAAAAAAATATAAAAATTTTTTAAAATAAAATTTGAATCATAAAATCATATTTCATTATCTTCAATCTTCGTTAAATTTCTTCGCTAAAATTCTTTAAAATTAAAATTATATTTAAAATTAAAATTAATATTGTTAATATTATGTAGTATGTATATATATTTATTTGAATATTGTATAATAAGGAATGGAAGAAAGTGATTTCGTTAAACGATGAAACAGAAAATACAGTCAGAAACTATCGATTTGAATCTGTATACCACTATAATTATTAGCACTATTCGATAAATTTACTTCCATTGGTGCACGGTTGACTGCAATCAATTCTCATTTAACGTATAATTATCATTAAAATAATGAGGGCATTCCGTGGCAAGTTACAAACTACGGTAAAATAACGGTGACACTTGAACGTTGTGCACGATAATGCAAGCCGTTGAGTAAGACATTAATATTCATATTTTAATTAAGAACAATAACAATGTGTAATCAATTAGTTTATCATCGGAATCGATCGACTTTTGCACAAGGGAAAATTAATTCTGTGTGTATAAAAGAGTAATTAAAACGAAAGAGAGGATGTTTAAATTTTGTGTATGTATATATAATATTCATATATACATGCAATGAAAATATTCGATTATCTTCCAAGTTTTATTTGCTCGATAATTCAAATTTAAATTTGAAACGAGAATTTTTATTCGAGATTAAATTGTAAGAGATTTGTATATTTGTATTCATGCAATCGTTAGATAAAAATGATAAAAGTGTTTTAACAAATTTTTGAAATGTTTTGAATTTGATTGTATGAATATGAAGGGGGGAAGAAAAAAAAGTAGGGAAGTTAAAATTTTTTTTTAAACTTTAAAATACTTTCGTTCTTGATTTAATCTGACAATTATAAAAATGAAAAGTGAAAGATTTTAATCAGGCGTTTCT